TTGGAATAATTGCGTTTTTGTTTTTACATCACATTAAATTTTCTGCCAGCTTGCTTAAGATTGAAGTTTCTGTTCCATTCGTCTTCAGGCGATGTCTCAGTTCCCGACAACATGTTCTCACTCAACCTCGTCGCATTATCGACGTTTGGTCATGGACTTTTCACCTCCAGATACAACGTGCAAGGTACCCTGGGTGCGTTGGTTGTTGACGTTCTGGGACACCGTGTCAAGTTCTACTGTTTACATACAGTCTCTTTCAAAATAAATACATTTTTTTTTCCTTCAACAACAAAGGCAAGTGGTTAGGTTTAAGAAAAAAGAACAGGATTTGGCTTTATGATCTCATGAGATGCGAACACCACTCTACCAAGTGAAAGTTAGTGTTTGTTGGACCCATCCACCGCCCTTCCTGCCTGCCCCACTCAGCCCTCCGCCGCCTTAACTTTCGTTCTTGTCCCGCTGTATTTCCCTCTGATGCCACCGGCCGCGGTTAAACTATAACAGCAACCAGTCACGTATCATGCTGATGTGAAAGGAAAGCTTTTTTGTTGTGTCTGATGCCACAAGTCACTGCCCAAGCGCCAGATGTCGACGACTTTGGAGTGAGACACTGCTTGTCTCTGAGTCCGACTGAAGATAACAAACACAATGTAATCCCTCAGAACAGCTATTATGGGTAACTGCATAAGGATCTACATATGGGTCAGCTGCCCTGCTTATTCTCTCAGCTACCATTGTAGTGTTAGCTCATAGAGGGTCAAAGAAAATGTATGCATGGCAGGAGGGTCACACATATGGCCATCCCTCTAATTACAGTGCATTTAACTGTTATAATAGCTTTCTCTTACCATATGGAGAGGTGACCATTTGGTCCAGTGCAAAGTTTACCTGACCTCTAACATCCTTTAATGTACCGTACGTCCTGTACACTCTATAAAAGTGAGAGTTATACAAGTTTGGTCCATACAGGCAGACATGGTGGTCACAGTGGTTATGCAGTATGCATCTGGGTTGTCTGGCCATTAGATGGTTACTCTGTGCAGACATTTGTAGCTGAAATGCACCACTAAACACAAGTCAATAAATCAGTTTTCATTGAACTTCAATAGAAATTCAACAAAACATGCATAGTTCACAGTTTTGCTGGAAAAGCTAAACTGTTTTGATTTGCACTGCTTACAGCAGCTGGAGAATAGAACTGCTCCTTCCAGTCTTTTGTTTGTATTGAATTACAACAATGTGGCTAGTCAATCAAGGCCCATGCTGTAAATGAATGTGCATTGATTTTGAAACTGCACATGGTTGGGTTTAGATAAAAATAGTCTCTATATACAGACTCTACATTCAGTGAATGTAGAGTCTCTAGGCAAACCCCGGAGATCTTGCCTCCGGAAGAAGAGCGGAGGAGCCCTGGTTTCCGGTTGTAGGCTGTTTATAGTCCGCATGATATTGACCAATCACGTTTGAGCCGGCTGCAGTTGTTGCCAGGTTAAACGGTCCGTGCGGTGAACTAATGAGGCGGAACATAACTGCCGTCACTGCAAACTCTGAATCCATCGCAATGGTTCAGCATATTTACTTACAGTAAAGGCCAAAAGTTTGGACACACCTTCTCATTCAATGCGTTTTCTTTATTTTCATGACTTTTTACATTGTAGATTCTCACTGAAGGCATCAAAACTATGAATGAACACATGTGGAGTTATGTACTTAACAAAAAAAGGTGAAATAACTGAAAACATGTTTTATATTCTAGTTTCTTCAAAATGGCCACCCTTTGCTCTGATTACTGCTTTGCACACTCTTGGCATTCTCTCCATGAGCTTCAAGAGGTAGTCACCTGAAATGGTTTTCCAACAGTCTTGAAGGAGTTCCCAGAGGTGTTTAGCACTTGTTGGCCCCTTTGCCTTCACTCTGCGGTCCAGCTCACCCCAAACCATCTCGATTGGGTTCAGGTCCGGTGACTGTGGAGGCCAGGTCATCTGCCGCAGCACTCCATCACTCTCCTTCTTGGTCAAATAGCCCTTACACAGCCTGGAGGTGTGTTTGGGGTCACTGTCCTGTTGAAAAATAAATGATCGTCCAACTAAACGCAAACCGGATGGGATGGCATGTCGCTGCAGGATGCTGTGGTAGCCATGCTGGTTCAGTGTGCCTTCAATTTTGAATAAATCCCCAACAGTGTCACCAGCAAAACACCCCCACACCATCACACCTCCTCCTCCATGCTTCACAGTGGGAACCAGGCATGTGGAATCCATCCGTTCACCTTTTCTGCGTCTCACAAAGACACGGCGGTTGGAACCAAAGATCTCAAATTTGGACTCATCAGACCAAAGCACAGATTTCCACTGGTCTAATGTCCATTCCTTGTGTTTCTTGGCCCAAACAAATCTCTTCTGCTTGTTGCCTCTCCTTAGCAGTGGTTTCCTAGCAGCTATTTGACCATGAAGGCCTGATTTGCGCAGTCTCCTCTTAACAGTTGTTCTAGAGATGGGTCTGCTGCTAGAACTCTGTGTGGCATTCATCTGGTCTCTGATCTGAGCTGCTGTTAACTTGCCATTTCTGAGGCTGGTGACTCGGATGAACTTATCCTCAGAAGCAGAGGTGACTCTTGGTCTTCCTTTCCTGGGTCGGTCCTCATGTGTGCCAGTTTCGTTGTAGCGCTTGATGGTTTTTGCGACTCCACTTGGGGACACATTTAAAGTTTTTGCAATTTTCCGGACTGACTGACCTTCATTTCTTAAAGTAATGATGGCCACTCGTTTTTCTTTAGTTAGCTGATTGGTTCTTGCCATAATATGAATTTTAACAGTTGTCCAATAGGGCTGTCGGCTGTGTATTAACCTGACTTCTGCACAACACAACTGATGGTCCCAACCCCATTGATAAAGCAAGAAATTCCACTAATTAACCCTGATAAGGCACACCTGTGAAGTGGAAACCATTTCAGGTGACTACCTCTTGAAGCTCATGGAGAGAATGCCAAGAGTGTGCAAAGCAGTAATCAGAGCAAAGGGTGGCTATTTTGAAGAAACTAGAATATAAAACATGTTTTCAGTTATTTCACCTTTTTTTGTTAAGTACATAACTCCACATGTGTTCATTTATAGTTTTGATGCCTTCAGTGAGAATCTACAATGTAAATAGTCGTGAAAATAAAGAAAACGCATTGAATGAGAAGGTGTGTCCAAACTTTTGGCCTGTACTGTACATATAAACGGAAATTGGAAACAGAAATTCGCCTCGTCCGCCCAAATCAAACCAGAATGCCAAAAAATCGGGGGTCTGCCCCCAGAGGCTGTATCACCGTCTGCCGGAAGTCAGACGCCGAATATAGCCGATGGGTTCCGAGAATGAGGAAAAAGGAACAGGATTTGGCTTTATAATCTTACGGGACATGAACACCGCTCTCCTGGGTGAAAGTCAGTGTTTGTTGGACCCATCCACCATTCATCCCCCACACCCCACTTGGACTCCGCCATGATTCCCCCTGACGCCACCAGGCGCTGCTAAACTATAACGGCAGTCAGCTGTTGGAAAAGCAGACAACTGAACTCAGCCCATCGTACAAGTGCATACCAGTCTCATGCACAGAGGAAAATGTTGGCATTGTACATTTTTGCAAACCACAGATATGTTAAATATTTATCTTTTTATACATAGCATATCAACAATTCTACAGTATCGTAGTACATGAGCTGAAATTCCTCTCTGGCGATTGGGTTGTGCGTACAGGTATGTCCGACACCCACAGTTATTGTGCACCAGAAAGAATAAAAAGATTTCTTGTATCTCATTAATACATTGACTTGAGGTAACTATAAAAAGCAAAGTGTATGTATCATCAGACTGTTGTTGAAATGAAGAAGCCTAAGCAGCAAGCAGGAAGCAGAGCACAGCCCCTCTCTGCATTCAGAGGTGATTTTACCTTGCCCTCCTTCATCTTCACTGGCTGCTCCTCTCTCATTCAGTCTATAGACAGTCACCTCTGGCCTCTACATCAACCCATACACTGATAGCAGCTCTCTTACCTGCGTGAATATGTGTTGTCTTTTTGTAACCTCCACGCTGCGCATCAACCTTGTGTTCACCTTGTCAAGAGTTGTTTCCTATCCACCGTGTTTGTTCATTTGTTTGCTAGCGTATTTAATTCTCCATGTGCATGTGTGGAATTGAAACCTTGATGTCTGTGTATAACTTTGTTTGTCCTTGGGTGGTTTTGAGTGTTTATATATCCTGGAATGAAGTCGGGAGTTGTTCAAAAAAAAAAAAAAAAAAAAAAAAAATGTGTAGCTTTGGAATTGTTAACATTCTTTTTTTTTTATTTATTTATTTATTTTTTATGTATTTATATTTTAATTTATTTACCCTAAGGATAGATTATTGATAACATTTTAGGGGCTACAAGATTATTATTATTACTATTATTTTTTTTAATGCATGTATATTAATGTCACCTGCATGGTCCTCCACATGGCTGTGTTTCCCTGAAGACAAGACATTAATCTAGTTAGTCTTCACAATTTTAAAGTCTGAGTTGCATTTTGAACAATCTCTTTCTGTCTGTTCCTGGATATATACCTTGTTTTGTATGTGTGTGTGTGTGTGTGTGTGTGTGTGTGTGTGTGTTGTTTAACATGTGATTAATGTTTTCATCCCCCTGCATGATGTTTGAGTTGTGTTTGGGATCAAGTGGGAGCAGTATGTCTTTGTTGTGTGTATGTTTTGTGAGCGCATCTAAGAAAGCGAGGGTTTACCTAGGATGGCCATCAAGGATCAACCATCTTCTGTGTATGAGTGTGTGTGTGTATATGTATACATATCTGTGTATGCATGAGTGTCTGATTGTGTCCATGTGTGTGTCCATGTGTGCATGCACCTGTGTGGTCCTGTCACTGTGCCTGACTATTTATATATGGTTGCCTACCGATGTGACTATGTGCATACCTGTGTGTGTTTGTGTGTGTGTGTCTGCGTGTGTGTATGTGTGTGTGTAGGTGCGTCCACCCAGGACTCAGATGCGATGGAGCCAGAGAAACAAGTGGACAGCACGGTGAAAATGGCAGGCGTGATTGCAGGGATCCTCATGTTCATCATCATCCTCCTCGGTGTCGTCCTCACCTTCAAACGCAGGTAGGTAATAAACACGACATCAGGAAGGTGCCGTCTGCAGCATCTTAATAATAATAATGATGATAATAATAATAAATCATCAACACATCCATGTTGTGCCTTTACTGCAACTCCCTCAATCCAAAGATGAGAGTTTGTAGCCTTCAGCAGCTACGTTTGCTGTTGAACAAAATGTAAAATATGACAAGTTGATCTTACTTTAAAAAAAAAAAAAAAAGTTATGCTTACTTCGCACCCAAGTCAACACTTATGCCTCACGAAATAATCAGTGAAAAATATACAAACTAAACCCTGACTTTGCCCAAGAGTTCAGCAGAGCTCCATTTATCACAAATACCAATATCATGCTTTAGTCAACTTACAAACTAAAAGGAACATTCTGTTAAACTATACAGTATATCTGTATTCTGCTGGTTTCAAACGGGGTCATCCCAGTGTTCCCCGGGTCCTATATTCCCCCTTATGTTCATGTTCTGCAACCAGGGGAACATAGGACCCTTTTTTCCAGAAAAAAGGGTCCTATGTTCCCCGATTGCAGAACACGGGGGAATATAGGGTCATCCCTATGTTTCCCAGGTTCTATGTTTCCCGGGTTCTATGTTCCCCACTTACCACCCAAAAAGGTTCTATGTTTCCCGGGTTCTATGTTCCCCGCTCAACCGAAGGGGTTCTATGTTTCCCGCTTGGTTGAGCAGGGAACCCGGGAAACATAGATACGCTCCCGTCCTATGACCCTTTTTCGGAGAAAGGGTCTGAACATAGGACTCTTTTTCTGAAAAAGGATCCTATGTTCTCCACTTTTCCGAAAAAGGGTCCTATGTTCCCCGATTGCAGAACATAGGACCCGCTTGGTTGAGCAGGGAACATAGAACCCGGGAAACATAGAACCATTTTTGTGTAAGCGGGGAACATAGAACCTTTTTTGCAGGGTTAAGTGGGGAACATAGAACCCGGGAAACATAGAACCTTTTTTGTGTAAGCGGGGAACATAGAACCCAGGAAACATAGATGCGCTCCCGTCCTATGACCCTTTTTCGGAGAAAGGGTCCGATGCCTGCCCCCCCCTTTGTTCTGCACCCGGGGAAAATAGGACCTTTTTTCGGAAAAAGAGTCCTACGTTCCCCGATTGCAGAACATAGGACCCTTTTTCGGAAAAACGGCAACTGGCTGCGTATCATGCCGACGTTACAGGACGGCTTTTTTCGTTGGTGTCTGACGCCACAAGTCACTGCCCACGCGCCGGATTTCAACGACTTTGGAGTGAGACCAAGTTGCTTTAACAAGTTAACGAAACAGAGCTGGCAGATATTCTAACTACACCATATGCTCAATCTTCCCTGTCATCATCAAGTTAAGTCAGACTAACTTGGTTCACTTAAACTGTTAACACTTAGAAAGAAGGACTTGTCATTTTTAAGTTGTAACAACTTCACAAAATTAAATACAAGAAAATTTTAAGGAAACAAAACTTAAGATTGATAGTTACCCTTTCTCAAGGCAATCCGTGTCCTAGATTTCTCTTAAGTTATATCAACTTGTCAGATTTTACAGTTCAATATTCTTTGTCATTTTGTAAGCACTTGGACAACTGCATGTGTTGATGAATAAAATACAACATTTAGCATCTTTAAACCACATGACTGAATGGATTGAAAGAGAGATTTATGGATAGACCTCAGAGTGTAAATTTAACGTGTCCTCATAGCTGATATGCAGGTAGAAATTAATATGCATGGGCAGATAGACGTTCAGTTTGGTCAGAACATATGCTCAACTTTACATTTTTATGGACAGTTTATGTCTTGGGTTGAAGGGGGATTCAGTTTAATAAGGTAGATTGAATCTGAATTTTAAATGTTTTAACATGTAATTTCAGTGTCACTCAATGAAAATCCTTTTTAGAGATTAGCATTTTATCAGACATTGCGGGTTACACACTGTTATGATTGTGAAGGCCACAAACTTTTATTTTATTTCTTAATGCCATATGAAAGGTCAGAATTATGTATTAAGATGTACTTAATCCTCTCTAACCCTCAAAGGCAAAAGTAAAAACAAAGATAGAGGTTCCCAGAGTTTAGATATTTCTCACCCAGATGAATTGTATGATGTTTTCTTTTTTCCCAGACATTCACAGTTTTCTGGGTCTTTGTTAACATGCACACTGGCTTGCCACCATCACCTGCCTTTCTTTCCTTTACTTCTACTTTTCTAATTCCCTTCTCACTTCATCCGTTCATCCATCCCTCTCTTCCTCACTTGCATAATGCTTACACATTTTGCTTTGCTAGGACTCGCATTTGTTTGATTTATTTTTTGTCATTTTTTTTATGTTTGTGTCTGTTTTTTACTTCACAATTAAAGCTTATCCAAAAACTGCTGAAAAATACTAATGAGGACAATTCTTGCAAATAGAAAATCAACACAACACAATTCATGCAAACACATTCCAGCAACCACACTGTGGCACTTTATGTGATGTTAGTAATTGAAGCACATATGCACTACAAAACTGAGACTTGAGCCGCAGGGAGGTGGAGGAGCAGGCATGAGGATTACTCCATCTGATTGCCCACTGCGTTAAATCCTTTCATACAAGCAAATATCAAAACAAATAATGGTGTAGACTGGAAACAGCAGGGTTGTTTTCAGAGGGACGACAAATATTGATGGTGGCTTGATCCTCTAAAAATCTGTAGTGTCGTTATTTTTGAAAGAAATGATGCCGACTCTTTGTACATGTTAATGTTTAGAAGAGATTTATTGTGTGTGTGAAATTTTTTGTGTCTCTAGATTGCCTGAATGTTTCTGTCACGCCTGAACAAAGTCTTAATTGTAACCAAGGTGGAGGCTGGACTTGCAGCTACAGTATCACAGTCATGCTACGTCCACTAATTAGCAGAGCGCTAGGACAGTTGGGTTAAGGTCAGGTTTATTGCTTAATACTGCAATCATTAGGTTTTTTTTATGTTAGGTCTTTTATAGGTCTTTTAAATTCCCACATGGTCCAGTCATATAGGTTTTGATTTATTTTGACAAGGTGCAGCTCTAAACAGAGTTTTGTGTTTGTTTTTCTGCGGCTAAGTGACCAATGAAATCTTGCCAACTAATGACCCTTGTGGTCAACTGACGTTTGGTCGGCTATTAGGGGTCAGCCCTAGTGATTTTTAACAAGAAAAAGTGCTGCACAGTCTATACTTGTCTGAAAGTACAATGCTACATGTAGCTACATGCTAACATCAGGGAAACATCATCTTGGTCACTGATGTTGTTAATTTCTCCCTGATTTTGGATCCTATTCCTGCTTTATTTGGTGATTTTCCATGTTAGAAAGTGCAGCTGTTCTCAGACTGGGCTTTTTCTGGAGAAGGGCTTAAAGAGACGGACACTAAAATGGAGCATCTCAGATAAAGCGTGACAACAGGTGTTCTAGCATTGACAGTATGAGGAAAACAAAGTGTTTTTTGACATCAAAGCATGTGCAGCAGAAACACCAAAATACAAGTATGAACCTGAAAATGAGCATCATAGGTCCTCTGTTAATATTTTATGTAAAAGTAAAAGCACTTCTCTCAGCGAGGATCTGACAATGTGAAAAGTACTTGACCAACCCGAATTTCTTGAACTTAAACTACTCAAAAGAAAAGCCTAGTAGCTAATATCAGCTCATAAGCTGCTAACATTTGACAGCTGTCCAGTTCAGATATCGAGAGACATCCTCAAAAATAGCTTTTATTTTCCCTTTTTGGGTTGATGTATGAAGTTGCCTGCCAGCAGAGATAGGAAAAGGCACATAAACCAGGAGGAGGGGAAAAAATACAAACATTTTTTTGACATGAAACATTCGTTTTAATATCACGATCTGGGGACACATTATCTACATCATATACACTTTATAAATCAGGGTTTGAATGAATGAATGAATCCAATTTGCATAGCATATCCATGCCCACATGTTACACGAAAAACAAGGACTGGTTGCACAAAACCCCTCAAATTTTCTCCTCAAGTATGACACTTAAGGCTTAACTTCTTCTTAGCTGAGGGATTTTCACAGTTGCCCAGAATCCCTTAAAAAATTTCCTTTAGGAAAAAACGTTAACTTATTTTCAGTGTTGAAAGCGACGTAAGAGCAATAAAGTTTCCAAGGAGATTATTTGTTTGCTTGGACTCGGGCTTGTGATACCTGTTATTGTCTCACAGAGTTGGCTTATGGTTAGACAGTGAAAAAATGGCAGATGAAAAAAAGACTAGAAAAGCATACTGGTCAGAGGAGGAAAAGATTAAACAGATGGAGGAATACAATCATAGAAAGCACATAATACAAAGTAAATTTGATCCCCAAATGCTAGAAAATAGAAAACAGTTGTAGGAAGAAACTGCAATGAAAATAAATTCAATCAAATCTAAAGTGTAAAATCCACTGGGTTCTTCTTCTTCCGGTCGCAGAACACTCTTCTTGGGGTGTATTTGTTTTTTTCATTTATCACCATAAACTCGATCATGTTGCAGTCAAATAGAGTCAAAGTTTTTTTTGTTTGTTTTTTTATCTTGCTTTGGTTGCTAAGGTCTTTTGTGCAACAGTCTAGGGCTACCTTAAGTATGAGACGAGGAGGAAACCATAAATACTTAAGTGAACATTTTAAGGAAACCTCAATGAGAAAACTTAAGGATTTTTTGTGCAACTACTTTTATTATGAGGAAACCTTAACTCGGACTTCCTCTACTACCTGGAAAGGAAAGTAGTAAGTAGTGGTAGTAAGGAAAAACTTAACTGAAGTTGTGTTATACAACAGGACTAAATTTATATTCTGTAATGTCTTAAAGTCTTGCTGGAAGAAAGGGCACTACACTGTGTGCACTCACGCAGCACGACACTGAAAATGTTTGCGAGGATACAATGAACCGTCCGACATACATGTATTCTACATCTCTCTGCAGTGCCACATAGGAAAAAACACGCAAAAGTGATATGACGTACCACCCACACAGAGGCCATG